TGCCTTGGCAGCCATGAGGTGGCTCACAGAGCTGATGGCTCAGGGCTGGTTTCTGAAAGCATTCACCATGGTCAGTGCTGAGGGCCTCGGCCCGGCACCTGTTTGGTGTCCGGGCACTGCAATACAGCACAGGGTGGCCGGCCTTCCCGATCACCTCTGCCACTTCACATTCCACTGTCACCATGGGCTTGATAAGCCTGCCATGTTGCCATGTGGCTCCTAGGTCATCGCTATAGATCATCACGGAATGAGGCCTAGCTTTATATGGCAGCCGAAAGCAAGAGAACCAGAATGGGATGTAGTAGGCGTACGCAGGGATGATGAGCCTCCCCGACTGCAGCTGGATGCCATGACCTGGGCCCACAGCAAAAGTGGCCCAGTGTGCCACCTCTGGGCCAATGACCTCCTCAGTCAGGTCCCTCACCTCGCTCCATGAATAGCCAGCATCCTGGCTGCATATGAAGCAGAGGCGTGCAGCATTCCTGCCTGACATAATCTGCTGACGCTCGGTGACATGGCCTCGCACACAGATGAAGAACAGGTACACACAGCCATTCTTCCGCTCCCAGACAGGACAGGGGTTCATGGTCCGGTGTCCAGGTAATGTGGCTTTCATCAGGGACTTCACGGGTTCCCACTAGACAAGAGGAAGGGAAAAAGCAGGAGTGAAAGACATGAGGCTCATTAAAAGCATTAGTACTTTTCAGTTCAGTTCAGGTCAGTCACTTAGTTGTATCCAACTCTTTGCAATCCCACGGACTGCAGCATGCCAGGCTTCCCTGTCCATCACCAACTCACAGACCTTGTTTAAACTCATGTCTATCAAGTCAGTGATGCCATCCAACCATCGCATCCTCTGTTGCCCCCTCCTCCTGTCTTCAACCTTTCCCAGCATCAGGGTCTTTTCCAACGAGTCAGATCTTCGCATCAGGTGGCCAAAGTATTGGAGCTTCAGCTTTAGCATCACTCCTTCCAATGAATATTCAGGACTGATTTCCTTTAGAATTGATTAGCTTGATCTCCTTGCAGTCCAAGGGACTCTCAAGAGTCTTCTCCAATACCTTAGTTCAAAAGCATCAGTTCTTCACTGCTCAGCCTTCTTTATGGTCCAGCTCTCACATCCATACAGGACTACTGGAAAAACCGTAACTTTGACAAGATGAACCTTCGTTGGCAAAGTAATGTCTCTGCTTTTTAATAGGCTATCTTGGTTTGTCATAGCTTTTCTTCTATGCTCCTCTATGCAAGCAGCAAGCATCTCTTAATTTCAAGGCTTCAGTCACCATCTGTAGTGAATCCAAGAAAATAAAGTCTGTCACTGTTTCCATTGTTTCCCATCTATTTGCCATGAAGTGATGGGACTGGAGCCATGATCTTAGTTTTCTCAATGTTGAGCTTGAAGCCAGCTTTTTCCCTCTCCTCTTTCATTTTCATCAAGAGCCTCTTTAGTTCCTCTTCACTTTCTGCCATAAGGGTGGTGTCATCTGCGTATCTGAAGTTATTGATACTTCTCCTGGCAATCCTGATTCCAGCTTCTGCTTCATCCAGCCTGGCATTTCGCATGATGTACTCTGCATATAAGTTAAAAAATAAGGTGACAATATATAGCCTTGACGTACTCCTTTTCCTATTTGGAACCAGTCTGTTGTTCCATGTCCACTTCTAACTGTTGCTTCTTGACATACATACAGATTTCTCAGGANACAGTTTTTTAAGAAGCAGGTTAGGTGGTCTGGTGTTCCCATCTCTTTCAGAATTTTCCACAGTTTATTGTGATCCACACAGTCAAAGGCTTAGGCATAGTCAATAAAACAGAAGTAGATGTTTTTCTGGAACTTTCTTGCTCTTTTGATGATCCAACAAATGTTGACAATTTGATCTCTGGTTCCTCTGCCTTTTCTGAATCCAGCTTGAACATCTGGAAGTTCCTGGCTCATGTGCTGTTGAAGCCTAGCTTAGAGAATTTTGAGCATTACTTTGCTAGCATGTGAGATGTAGCAATTGTACGGTAGTTTTGAACATTTTTTGGCATTGCCTTTTTTGGGATTGGAATGGAAACTGACATTTCCAGTCCTGTGGCCACTGCTGAGTTTTCCAAATCTGCTGGCATATTGAGTGCAGCACTTTAACAGCATCATCTTTTAAGATTTAAATTGCTCACCTGGAATTCCAGCACCTCTGATAGCTTTGTTGGTAGTGATGCTACCTAAGGCCCACTTGACTTTGGAGGTCTGGCACTAGGTGAGTGATCACACCTTCATCGTTATCTGGGTCATTAAGATCTTTTTTGTATACTACCTCCTCAGGAATCCACATCCACATGTCCCATTCAGTAAATACAAACTTTGAACTCTCACACTAATGTTTCCACTATTGTTCTTTGGCCTCATTGAGAACTGTACTCTCTCCCACTACTACTCTATTACCTTCTGGTCTTACTCACTATTGGACTCATCATTAGTCCTTCTATTTTTTTTTATTTCTCCATGTACCCTAGAATCTATGATTTCAACCACAGTCTTGGCAATAATCTAAAGTAATTTGCTTTGTTACCCTTTTTTTCATATGCCTAACTATTCATAGTTGAGCCTAAGTTTTTGTTTTTTATTTAGTAAACACTCATGTGATACTGTGTAAATTATTGCATCTAAGAAGTTCACATTTTTAAGCCATTTATTACAAAGCAATGAGGTGGCACATTCAGAGTGTTTCCTGCAAGATAAGCTCACACCATCATACGAATTTGTTATCCCCAACCTAGATTACAGAATTCTTCTGATTCATTGACTCTTTTCTCTATTTTGAGGATGCTCTCTATGGAGAAATCAACCATCATGCTGTGAGAAAGCCAAATTACCCTATAGAGAAAGGCCACAGAGGAAAATAGCTCTCAGCTAGCATTAACTACCAGACATGTGAGTAGAATGAACAAGCCTTCAGATGAGTTTAGCTTGCAAACTTTGGGCTGTCTAGCGGGAGTTCGGAGATTATTGAGCAAAGACAAACCACCCTCACCATGTTTGTCTGAATCTGTGATGCACAAAATTGATAGGTTTTAAATTAATTTATTACACAGCTATAGTCATTGGAACACTACCAATAAAAAGGTTATCACTAAATCCAATGAACACCCTTCAAGTATTAATTTTAATCAATTCATTGAAATGTTTAACTCTGTCAACCAAACCTTCCATATTCAAATATTATCTTTACTTTGTGTGTGTACAACTAGATGGTATACATGGCACTTGCTCTTTTATTGTCATTCTTTATAATTTGCCAACGAAATCTCCTCTACCCATTCATTTCCACAGGGCTCTGTCCGAGGCCCTTTCTGGGTAGTGGTCCTCAGTCAGAAGTAAGCAGTTGAGAACAACTACTCTGTATGATATAATTCACTTTCTTGGCTTCAATTATATCTCCTATATGCCAATATCGCCTCAATATATACCCAATATATAACCCAGCCCAGACACCTTTTCTGTGCTTCTGACAAATATATCGAACCACTAACAAGCATTAGAAATATACCCCTGGATATTTCACAGATACCATAACTCAAAGGGACCAAAATGCATGTATTATCTTCCCTATCACATCTGCTTTCCCTATTTTTTTTCCCCAGAAATGACATAAACATCCAATACATCTAACTTCCCAATCCAGAAACCTAGTATAAAATTTCACCTCCGTTGTGTCCTTTGGTATCAATCCCCATACCACTGTATAATTTATCATGTTCCATTGACTCCAATTCAGTAATACCCCTCTCTTTATTCCTAATGTCATCTTTCCTTTGTGCAAATCACACTGCCTCTTTACTTAAGTTATTACAATACTCAGATAATTTTTCTCCCTTTCCACATTGTTCTTTTTCAATTTTCTCCATTTGATAATCAGAATATTTCTATAGTTAAAATTTAAACACGTATTTTCCTGTTTAATGCTTTTTAATTGCTGATAATTTCCCTGAAGATCAAATTCAAATCCCTGGTATTAACAAATATATCTTCAGTCTTATGTTTATTGGTTATATCCTGCAATGTTTACTGCACTTTCTCTCTCACTTCTTAATCTTCAATTCTGTCCTACCATCTATGTATACTTCCCTCATCCTCTTCTTCAATAAGCCCTTTGCATAGTTAGCTCTGTCTGTTCATACAGTATTAACCCAAAAAGCCTTCTTTGCCACTTTAAGATATATGTAGCCTCTCTACCTCTATGATCTCATAACAGTCTGTGCTGATCTCTACCCCATGTGGGTTTTACATGTTTACAAGTCCCAAAGGACTTGTAGATCAATGATGGCAAAGACTCTTTTGTTCACAACTGTATACTCAGTGCCTAGCAAAGTTTTATTAAATAAAAGGTGTGGATTAAATGTCTACTACATGGACTTCCTAGGTGGCACTAGTGGTAAAGAATCTGCCTGCCAACGCAGGAGACACAAGAGATGCAGGTTCAATTCCTGGTATGGGAAAATCCCCTGGAGAAGGAAATGGCAACCCTCTCCAGTATTCATGCCTGAGAAATCCCATGGAGAGAGAAGTTCGGCAGGTTATATATAGTCCATGGAGTCAGAAAGAGTTGTACATTCCCGAGCATGCATGGATGCAAATATCTGCTAGGTTAGTGGTTATTTAATGGACCAAAACTTTCTGTGATAAATATATGAAGATACAGAAAGGTAGTGGGGAAAAGCATGGTTAAGGGGCAGATTTTAAGAAAATAGAGATTAAAAGTCTAGACAAAACTTATAATTAGTCAAATGAGAACAGAAAGGATGAAATTTAATGGAAGATCCAATAGCAAGTATATTTAAAGAATAAGATGCTATTGAGAGTTGTATTAATAAATATTAAGGCAAAAGCATCATGTGTCTCCACTGTGACACCTATGTCTCCTCATCAATAGATATAACACGTTTGCAAGAAACTAATAATTCCCTAAGTATTTTATTATTTCATTTTCTATGATGGCAGTAGTCTCAAATAAGGGATTTAATAAGCATTGTTCAATTCTGAAACAGAGTCAAGTAATTATGTAGATAAGTTTAAAGAGTAGGCAGATTGACTATCGAACAACATAGCAAAGACATTCTGTCGAATATAGTGAAATTTCAGTTAAATAACTGTAAAGAATATGTATTAAAGTGAAAGATATAGCATAAAATTTCTTTTTGGAATCTTGAGGGCTTTTCACTGCCAATAAATATTTTTAATACACAAAATGATGTCTTTCAACAAAAAGCAAGTCTCAACATCTCTTACATATGTAAATAATTAAGCAATATCTGCTCTGGTACTAAGTATTTTCATCCCAGTAAGACTATTTCTCAGAATTTCAGAGTTTGGGAAAATCTCATCTTGAGTTTCTAATGAACCTGACATCTGACATTTATCTTTGTCTTTGTTGATGAAATTGAATTTACATCAAAAGATGCTGTACCTTTTTTTTTTTTTGGCTGGAAATCTGGTGTTTGAGGCCCACTAGGAAAGAGTAGAATATGTTCTTTTCTGAGTGTTGCTCTGAAGACCTTTTAGGCAATTTATTGATGCCAAGATACAGAACCTTCCTAACTGAATTCATGGCATATGAAACAACACACTTCTTTTTTTTACTATACCATATTTTTTATCCTTACCTTGTTGTACAAAGGATCCATACACAAACCACATGGAGTTGTAGAGAGTAGTAGAAGTCATCGATCCCATTTGTAATCGTGGAGGATTAAGCCAATTCAAGAGGTAGACCAGTAGACCCACTAGAAGGACTGTGCCAGCAATGCAAGCCCAAAGTGAGAGATCAAATGGTGCAAGACAAGCAAACATATCCACTGTCTTTTCAGCCCTTCGAAGTAGGACTCCCACTGAGTAGTCCATGTAACGTGTTGTGAAGTCCACCACATTCTCACGGTCTGGGGTGATGGTTAAAGCAGAAATTCCTATGTCAGCTCTCTGAGAAATGGAAAGAGAAAGGAATATGTTAGCAGTGTGAAAAACATCTTTATTTGTGGCACTGTAGCTTGTCTTGAGGGAAAAAAATAGATGCCTCAGGCAAATCTTAAGCCTTTTTTATAAAAACTGAAAAGCATAGCAGAGACTTCTTAGAGAATAGCCATATGTGAATTTTGCATTTCCTACTGCAAATCTTAGCTCAGGAGAGTTAGACAAAGTACCTAGTTCATATTATCAGTGCATGTGAAATCAGTGAATATCTCAGACACAGGTAACTACTGAAGAAAACTGTCTTTTTCCCTTGGGTAACTTTATCAAAGCCATCATTAACACAATAGCAAAGATAAAACTTATTCTAAATAATTCTTCCTGAGAAAATATTTCCAAGAAATGCAATATATTATTACTATGTAAATTATTAGGTTATTAAAAACATTCAACATGGCATTTCACCCTTGGTTTAGACTTCTCTGCATCAAAATTTATATTATTAGGTTCTACATACATTAGAGTTATAAGAGCTTTCATGGCACTAAGCTATAGCATCATACACGAGAAGTTTCTACCATAATTTTATTTTTTAAACCTCAGAAACATTTTAGTATTAAACAATTAATTAATTGTTTAATTAATTAAAGATTAATTAATTGATCTTTAAACAATTAAAGATTAAGGAGACAGATACTCTTCTTGGAGCAATAACCATTCTTCTCAGAGTGTGCCTTAGATCCTCAGTATTTAGCACTCAAAATCATAGCATATGCTATTTTGCTTATATAACAAGGCACATAGAATTGCAGTGAAAGCACAGAACAAATGACTTCACATTTAAATTCTATGATGTAAAAAATATTTAAATATCTAAATTATGCTTGTTGTTTGAAATAATGATCTATAGCTGTGACTAAACTTGCAGAAAACTTCTTTCAGACAAACACAAACAATAGTAAATTACTGAACATTTCCACTGTTCTGTTTGTTTACTGAAAGAATACAGAAAGTGGTTTTAATGCTTTTGGAGGAAAAAAGACATGAAAAGTAACATGCCTAGTGGAATGCTAAATCAACTCAGATACATCTAGCTTCTGAAGTAATAATAGCTACAAAGATACTTTACCTAAAGTTAAGCTGTGTGTGTGTGTGTGTGTGTGTGTGTGTATGTATGTGTGTGTATATCAGTTCACCCATATATTTTGGTGCTAGGCCCTGTGCTAAGTATCAGAATAACTTTTCTCATTTAATCCTTACAATGAGTTATGAATTACATGTTTTCTTCTCCATTTCATAGATGAAGAAACTAAAACTTCAAGAGTTTAAGTAACTTATTTCAGTCCTCACAGTTACGAAGTTTTCAGAAGCCAAATATTAAAGCTATGTTTTTCTTACTCCAAAGTCTGTGCTTATAATCATTTTACCATATTGTAAGAAATCATTCATTTGCCAAATGGCTCATATTGTAGGTAATTAGAATAACTAGTTTTAGGAAAATTTTTACTTTAAAAGAGCTTGAAACTTTGCTTTTCTTAATTTTACTATTTATACTGCAACAAGGCTAGATTATCATAAGTACTGTGAATTTAGGCTTATTAACTGAGAAGTATTAAACTTAGTAACACTATATGGAAACGAATTTTCAGAGAAATAGTTATTGCTTTCAAGCTCATGTATTTATTTTGCATTGTTTAGTTACTAGGAATTGGGTTTTTTTCTGAAAGAAATGTAATCTGGATCCTTAGCACTTTAGTCCTATTTTTTCTAAGCTTCAGTTTACCTGTTTGTGAAATAAATATAACTGTCTTTAGTATGACTATCGTGAGCTGACTCACATATCCCAACCTCAGTGGTGAATAAGTAACTCCTCATGATTCAATTAAATTCTCAAAAAACACATTTCCTGTCTCAGGATATTAAAGTACTGTGGATCAGTAATTTACAAATTGATACACTAGGGACCCAAAGCACTTTATGAGTCAAAGTAAAAAAAAAAATTCTATCTAAGGAGGAATTTTCTGAAAACTTTAATATTTAATATTGATTAAATATTTGTAAATGTTCACAAATATTTCACTGATAAATAACTACATGTTTTACATTTAATGATTATGAATCAGAATAATCACTATACTGATTTTTAATAATAGATACTTGCACATATCACACAGCAAATTTCTGTAATGTAATAAAAATATCTGCAGAACATTGAGTTGTGTTATTATTTTCTTTTGGAGAAGTGAACTGATTCTTTTGCATGTGCTAAAATATTTATTAAAAATAATAACTGCTTTTCCTGTTTCTATGAAGAGCTTCCTAAATTCTAGTCTACTGTCAACACTTGGTTATTCTGTGCTCAAGGAGAAATTCCCAGTCACCCTGTGGAGAGAATATTAGAATCATCAAATGGGCTTTTTAAACTACACAAATGCATTTACAAACACAACACACACCCAAAAACACACAGATTTTTCTATCTCTGAGATTTGTATACAACTTCCTGAGGAAGTGCCTCACCCCAGACTCGTGAATCAGTAATATTGCAGACCATTGTGTTTGTTATTAGTATGTGATCTTCTGTACTTCTAATAAAGAAGCTGTACTAGAGCGAAAGAAAAAGCAAGAACCACTGACTCAGAAAGATGGTCCTAAAACTTCTTGAAAAGGTCCAAGTAACCAAAAATACTCCAACAAGCATGCCTTTCTTTCTTTCCTTCTTTGTTTATCATTTGTCTATGTATTTATGTATCTATGCATGCATGTATGTATGCGTATTTCAACTCACTTGTTCAGTTTCTACAATGAATTTTCATATCTTTAGCCTCATAAAATGTTTAATTTTCTCAGTCCTTCTAACACTCAGAAGATGACCTCCACTGCTATTTTACAGAGGACACAGAAGATACTGAACTAAAATTCATACTTATTTCTATTTCTCAATCTATATCCCACATCCAGCCTATCTGATTCATTTAATTTGCTATGAAGAAACTGTCCTATTTAATGCCAACCTTCTATCAATCAATAAACTTAACAACCATTCCCTTCCATTTCAGAGGCTTAAACATCCATTTCTTGGCAATTTGACATTGGCAATCCCCTGGACTTGGGCCCTTTTCTTATTTGAGATCCTCTGCCTCTGCAAGCCCATTCATATCCAATACCCCCATTGATCCCCATCTACACACATGATTTACAAATTTACACTTCTAGATTTAGAGCTGAGCTCTGGAGTCTAGACTGATTTATGTAATTACGTCATTGATATTTCTATTAGATGTCTCCAAAACACTTCAAATTTAATGTGGCCAAGACCACAACAGAGGTATTCAACTCACATCAGTCCTCTTCCAATGTTCCCTGCTTCACTGAAAATCTTTTCACATAAGTCTTAAATCTTGGCAGTCTTTCTGTTGAGCAAATCTCATCCTGTTTCCTACCACGGTTTAAAGGTTTTCTGTGGATTTGTACTGCTTTTAAGAAAGGAGATTAAAATCTTTAACAAAGTCTATACATCTTTGGATAGACTATCCTCCATCTACCTCAACATATTCCTACTGGACCATTTTTCTTTCCAGCACTTCTTTGTGAGACATGATCTTCTTACATGCTGATTATACTGTCTGAATTGATCCTTCTGAAACTTCAAGTGAACTCTTTTTCATATTCATAAATCAGCTCAATTATCACTTCCACAGTGAAGCTATCCGTGGGCTGCTTTGACTGGAATAATAATTCTGTTCTTTACACTATCAGAAGGAGTATCCACTTCCCTAGAGTTATACCAGTTGTAATTTAACCCATATTTGTATGATTTTTGACCAATGAAATTTTCTATTAGACCAAAATTCCTGTGAAGTCAGGGACTGTCACTTTATACAAAAAACTGGCATATTCTTGTATCCAGCACACTTATCTGGCATAGATTCATCATCAATAAATTCTTGCCTCATATATGAAGGAAGGTGGAACATTTACTAGATATGCATTAACCAATTCTTATAAGTTTTCTATTTCTCAGCATAACTGACAAAGAGGGGATTTTACAGGATAAAAATAAAATGGTAATATAAGAATGTACTATTTTATAGAAGTGATAGAAGATTTATATCTTAATTATTTAAATAATTAAAATCAGATTCTTGCTTTATCAATATACTTATGTTTATGGTATTTACCATTAGCTAAGGTAGAGTCTACTAGGACAGGTTCAATATATTACAAATTATTATTATATGTCAAGTGTTTAATGTAAAAGTGCTTATTTGAATTTTGATAAGATCTAGCACTAAAACTATTGTAGAATATATTTTTCAGTTACACAGTTGTAGTATTTACCTTGACAAGATATAGAAGATTTGCATTCTTCTAGTCATATAAAGAGATGGATGGCTAATACAATAAAAGTGAAGTAAAAGAGTTAGTTGCTCAGTCATGTCTGACTCTTTGTGACCACATGAACTGTAGCCTGCCAGGCTTCTCTGTCCATGGAATTCCCCAGGCAAGAAAACTGGAGTGGGTAGCCATTCCCTTCTCCAAGGGATCTTCCCAACCCAGGGATCGAACTCAGGTCTCCCACATTGCAGGCAGATTCTTTACCATCTGAGCCACAGGGGAGGCCCCAGAGCAAATTATAACCTAACTAGGAAAACAACACTATTTATGGTTACTTTTGCTCAATCATGTCTGGCTCTTTGCAGCCCTGTGGAGTGTAGCCTGCCAGGCTCCTCTGTCTATGGAATTTTCCAGGCAAGAATACTGGAGTGGGTTGCCACTTCCTACTTCAGGGGATCTTGCCAATATAGGGACTGAACCTGCATCTCTTGTGTCTCCTACACTGGCAGCTGGATTTTTTACCACTAGCACCACTTGGGAAGATCATAGTTGTTTTTACTTATTATTTCCCTACAGTCTCTCAGTTAAGAAAAGAACTCTCCACCCTGAGAAAATATATGAAAAAGGATTCTAATTTAATTTTCTCCTCTTTATTTGCTCTAACATTCTGGTTC